GGAGCTACGGTGAACCAACAGAGATGCTAACTTCAGGCCCTGAAGATGATGATGGCAATGAGGTGGGAGAGAGCAGTGGGGCATATATTGTCAGGATTCCCTTTGGTCCATGCGATAAGTATCTCGGAAAAGAATTACTGTGGCCTTATATTCAAGAATTTGTAGATGGAGCTCTTAGTCACATTCTTAATATGTCAAAAGTTTTGGGTGAACAAATTGGAAGAGGCCAGCCTGTGTGGCCATATGTAATTCATGGCCATTATGCTGATGCAGGTGATTGCGCTGCTCTTTTATCAGGTGCTTTGAATGTTCCAATGGTTTTAACGGGACATTCGCTTGGGAGAAACAAGCTGGAACAGCTTCTTAAACAGGGGCGACAATCAAAGGAGGACATCAATTCAACATATAAAATAATGCGGAGGATAGAAGGAGAAGAGCTTTCACTTGATGCTGCAGAACTTGTAATCACGAGTACCAGACAAGAGATTGATGAGCAATGGGGACTTTATGATGGGTTTGATGTCAAGCTTGAGAAAGTTTTGCGTGCTCGTGCTAGACGTGGTGTCAATTGCCATGGCCGTTACATGCCAAGAATGGTGGTAAGGAAGTGTTTGTAGGTTTTTTTTTTTTTGACATTTTATTACTAACTGCTAAGCTCATGCCTTATCACCTGTCTATGAGTTGAGAGAAAATAGAAATATGGGAGGCAAGATTGAAATTGTACAAAATTGTACTTTGATATCTTTTACAGCTTTAAGGAATGTCAGTGTTATTTAGTTCCCTAGTTTTAACTCAGCTTTCAATCATTGTACTGGAAAAGCAAACAAATATAACTAAAAATGGTCTAAATTCACAACGAATGATTCATTTGGACCTCCCAAGAAAATACTGATGCAAAATCTCTTTTCAGGTTATTCCTCCAGGCATGGACTTCAGCAGTGTTGTGGTTCAAGAAGATGCTCCCGAGTTCGATGGGGAGCTTGCAACACTCATCAGCAGTACTGATGGTTCTTCCCCAAAAGCAATACCACCAATATGGTCTGAAGTGAGTGTCACCTTGTGTTTTCCTTCTTGTTTTACATGATCATGTATACAACTATTTCTGCCTCAAGGCTAACATCCTCTGACAGATCATGCGGTTCCTTACAAATCCCCATAAGCCGATGATTTTGGCCTTATCAAGGCCTGATCCAAAGAAGAATATTACAACTCTTTTGAAAGCCTTTGGAGAGTGCCGCCCATTAAGAGAGCTTGCCAATCTTGTAAGTCCTTGTATGTGGATTATTACTAGATACTCAATTTGTTTGTTTGATGACATGGGATGATAGCACTCGAGAACTAATATACTCTCATGCAGACACTGATTATGGGAAACAGGGATGATATAGAGGAGATGACTGGTGGAAATGCGAGTGTGCTCACGACAGTGTTGAAGATGATTGACAAGTATGATCTTTATGGGCTGGTCGCCTATCCGAAACATCACAAGCAAGCTGATGTTCCAGAAATATATCGGCTTGCTGCCAAAACAAAGGTTCATTGGCAATGTTTTCAAAATTACATCTGTGTGATTTTTTCATGATTAATTAGCTAAGAAATTGGATATATGTCAGGGGGTTTTCATAAATCCAGCATTGGTCGAGCCTTTTGGCCTTACCTTGATTGAGGTTGGTTTTGATTTCTTGTTTCTTTCATTACTTACCTTCCTTTACTTGTGGAAATGAAATTGATCAATTCATGTTTGAATTGATGCAGGCAGCAGCTCATGGGCTTCCAATGGTGGCTACTAAAAATGGCGGACCAGTTGACATCCATCGGGTAAAAAATGGCCTCCATCTGTTCCATGTTGACGGCCCAAAAACATAAAAAATTGACAAGAAGCAACTAGATGGGATTCTGTTTAGATATTTAAATTTCTCCTTTCCTCCTGTTTCCTATGTTGTTAAGAAGATGCAAATCATGCAATGGTAACTTGATTATAGAAAATGTACTTTTGTTTCTTATTTCCTGTTTTGGTTTTAGGCACTGAACAACGGTCTGCTTGTTGACCCTCATGATCAGCAAGCTATTGCTGAAGCACTGCTTAAGTTGGTGTCCGAAAAGAACTTATGGGCTCTCTGCAGGAAGAATGGCTTGAAGAATATACACCTGTTCTCATGGCCTGAACACTGCCGGACGTACTTGACCAGGGTAGCAGCCTGCCGGATGAGGCATCCACAATGGCAAACTGATACCCCAGAGGATGAGATAGCTGCTGAAGAGTCATCTCTCAATGATTCCCTCAAGGATGTGCAGGATATGTCCCTCAGGCTGTCAATTGATGGAGACAAACCCTCTCTGAATGGATCTCTTGACTATTCAGCTGTGTCTTCTGGGGACCCTGCACTGCAAGATCAAGTACAACGGGTCCTGAACAAGATAAAGAAACCAGAATCTGAGCCAGTAGTTTCTGAAGGTGCAAGGCATGAGGCTGTTGGAAGCAAATATCCCATGCTGAGGCGACGGCGCAGATTGATTGTTATAGCTCTTGACTGCTATGATAGCGAAGGATTTCCTGAAATGAAAATGATTCAGATTGTGCAAGATATAATTAAAGCTGTTCGGTCAGACTCACTATTTGCAAGAGTGACAGGGCTTGCTCTATCAACAGCTATGTCATTAACAGAAACAATAGAGTTCTTGACATCAGCAAGGATTCATGCAAATGAGTTTGACGCATTGATTTGTAACAGTGGGGGCGAAGTATATTACCCCGGTACTTGTACTCAAGTAGATGGAAAGCTTGTTCGAGATCCAGATTATGCAGCTCATATAGACTACCGTTGGGGCTGCGATGGCCTAAAGAAAACCATTTGGAAGTTGATGAATACAACTGAAGGTGGGAAACAATCTGAGGAGTCTTCCAACCCCATTGAGGAAGACAAAAAATCCAGGAATGCCCATTGCATAACATACCTTGTAAAGGACCGCAGTAAGGTGATGAAGATATTAATGCATCTGCTGGAAGTTCAAGAAGCAGTTTCTTATATTTTTTTCTTTCTATAGGCATATTTTCATACTAATTTGCCTTTTCAGGTGAAGAGAGTGGATGATTTGAGGCAGAAGCTTAGGATGCGAGGTCTCCGTTGTCATCTAATGTATTGTAGGAACTCAACAAGATTGCAAATTATTCCACACCTTGCATCACGCTCGCTAGCACTCAGGTACTATCATATATTCTAAACTCAGGAATGCATTAACAATCATTCTGATCCCTTCCTATATGCTGCAATTTTATGCACAACCAATCCTTCATCAGTCCCATGGACTGAATGCAGAACTGCTGCCATGCAGGCACCCTCATATGGACCTTATAGCACCGGGACATAATTTTTCAGTACGTTGAGAATATTGATTTCCATAACTCTCTGTGATTATTAGGTACCTTTTCGTTCGCTGGAGATTGAATGTTGCCAATATGTTTGTGATTCTTGGTGAAAATGGAGATACTGACTACGAGGAAATGATATCTGGTGCTCATAAGACTATAATATTGAAAGATGTGGTGACAAAGGGTTCTGAAGACTTGCTAAGAACCACAGACCTAAGAGATGACATTGTCCCTAAGGAGAGTCCCCTGATTGCTTATTTGAGTGGAAAAGCAACGGCTAGCGAGATCGCTGATGTTCTGAAGCAAGTGTCAAAAGCTTCTGCTGGGATGTGAGATAGCACTGTAATATTGGAGCAAAATTATCATTGTATTCCCTTAACCCTTCCCCTGTCTCAAGATTCAAACTCCTCCCTCCTGGAGCATTTTTCTAGTTTTGGTATTTAACACGAACGCAGCTAGATAATGACTCCTACCGTGGCTGAAATTCTCTCTTGTTATGTAGATAATTTGGTCTACATGGTCTAGACAGCTGGCCGGCAGGTATTATATTCCCGACAGGATTCCCAGGTACTGTATCAAAAAGCAAGAGGTGGGTTTTTTCTTAAGTGTCTTTTGAGCTATTTTTGTCCAAAAAACCACGATTTTTTTTTATTAAAAAAACAGGAAACAAATTTAAATCCCAACAACTTCTGTGGACAAGAACCTTGGATCATACGTGCAAGGCCACTGTCTTGGAATCAGCTACCCCTACAAAGCAAACTGCACTGAAACTTGGAACGTTTAAATTATTATATTACTCTAAAAGAAAAAAAGAAAGCGGTCCAATCCTCTTTGATCTAAGTGTAATCACAGTGGAAATGATAAAAGGAAATTCTTTCCTTTCACTCTCATATAAAGTGGTCTTCTTCTACAGTAATATATAAGGCTGTTGGGTTTACTTGTAAATATATTAAAATAATATATAGCTGTTGGATGTGGTGTTTCAAAAACATTTTTACTTGTAAATATATTAAAATAATATATATTTTTTATTTTTTAAAATTTATTTTTGATTTATTAATACACAAAAATAAAATGGTTTGTAATAATTTACTTTGTGTGAATGAAATCTGATGTAAATCTTTAAAATATCAGAAAAAACACAAACAATAATACATTAAAACCCTTCAAATAAGAATTCATAAAGAGTCATTTTTATGCAAAAGAATAATACAGTAAAGTTTTATCACATCTTACCATGTGAAATGTGAAATACTTTCGGATCTCTTTTTAGGCAAAACTCATTATTTGTAATTTTGTTAGTTCATTAAAAAAACATCTCTCTATTATCATTTTGGTTAGTTAAAACCTTTTATTTTTATTTTTTTAAGTTTAAGTATTATTAATTTCATAACTAATAAAAATTTATATAATTATAAATTTTAAAATTTTGAAGAATTAGTAAGATATGTATAAACTGTTTCAAACATCAATTTTAAATAAATAAATAATAGCAAAAGGTAAGCTGGTGTTGAATACCCAGTCCGTCAGCAATGCGACCGTGTCAGCTTCGTTTGTGTGCGCTCCAAGTCAGCACCTGATCAAGGCCCTATATGGGCCAGCAGCAGTCCGCGGACGGTTACAAACTTCTAATTTGCAAATCCAGAAGACCCAACCAAAAGCTTCCCCACCCCGCTTCCCATGGCACCTTTTTGGCAAGGACCCTTCTAAACTGTGTGTCGCGGGCGTTACATACCCGTTATTTCTTCAAAATGGAAGGTAAAATTTTAACTGACGCCACCCTATTGACGTTAGCTTACTCTTGCCGCAATCACCCGCCTGCCTATCTTTGATTCTGATTCTCCTGTGCTTTTAAGAACCCCAAATCGCCAACGCAGAATCCAATTTTCTCTCTCTCTAAAATCCTCACCAGCTGCTGCAGCAGCAGCAGCTAAGCTACTGTAACCATGGAAGATCTCAATCGGACGGCCCCGAAGCTACCTATCCCGGGAAAGCGAAACATACTGATAACCAGTGCTTTGCCTTATGTCAATAACGTCCCTCATCTCGGGAACATCATCGGCTGTGAGTCATTTTCATTTTAAGGAATTTATCTCATTTTTTTCTTCTGATCTTGGTGTCGTTTTGGTTGGTTAGGTGTGTTGAGTGCTGATGTTTTTGCTCGATACTGTCGTCTTCGAGGATATAACGCGATTTATATTTGTGGAACTGACGAGTATGGGACTGCGACTGAGACTAAAGCCATGGAGGAGAATTGCACTCCTAAACAAATTTGCGACAAGTAATTTCTTTCTTTTTTTAAAATTTTCCTTTTCTTTTAATTTGAACAAGTTATTTTTTCGTATTTGCTCAATTGTTGTTGTTGTGAATTTTAAATTGGTTTTGTGTTCATAGGTATCATGCAATTCATAGGGAGGTTTATAAATGGTTTAATATAAGTTTTGATGAATTTGGACGTACGTCGAGTCCGCAGCAAACGGAAATTTGTCAAGCAATTTTTAAGAAATTGTTAGAGAATAACTGGCTTTCGGAGAACTCAATGCAACAGGTATAGTCTCATGAGTAATGGCTTATTTCACTGTTTTGTTGTCTAGTTCAGTACCTTTTCTCTGTTTCAGCTCAATTTTGCTGTTTGGTGGTTCATTGATTGATGAGCTTAGCTGTTATCATGATACAGCTGTACTGTGATACATGCGAAAGATTCTTAGCTGATCGGCTTGTGGAAGGTAAGTGTCCAACAGAAGGATGTCATTATGATTCTGCACGAGGCGATCAGTGTGAAAATTGTGGAAAGCTTTTGAATCCTACAGAGTTAATAAATCCCAGGTGCAAGGTGTGAGATTGATCTCTCTCTTTTTTTAGTGAATTCGTTGTGTATAATTTCAGCTATATCTTAGTTTCTGGTTATTCTTGGTCACATGGTTGTATATTCATCTAGAGTTGGACTGAAATGAAATGCATAACGTAGTAAATAGGCTAAATGTCTAGAAGGCCATTTTACTGCCAAACTTATTTATTACACGACACTTGCTAGATATGGCCATGTTTTCCCTGGGTAATGTCCTAAATAAGAAGTCAGCGAATAAGTGATCATCGACAGTTGTGCCTCTTCCATACATATAGCAATAACATTGTAAGACCCTGCTGATTTCATTTTGTATTTACTTGTATATTCCATTCTGATATGTGAACAGCAATGTAAAAACATACCACGAATCCGTGATACAAATCACTTGTTTCTTGAGCTTCCTCTACTGAAGGATAAATTAGTACACTATATCGAGAGCACATCTGTAGCTGGGGGCTGGAGCCAAAATGCTATTCAAACAACAAATGCATGGCTTAAAGAAGGATTAAAACCACGATGCATTACCAGGGATCTGAAGTGGGGTGTTCCCGTCCCACTTGAAGAATTTAAGGACAAGGTTAGAAATCTTGTTTAGTATCATTTCCATTTTATCCTATTCAAAGCCTGTTAAAAAGATGTGATTTTTTTTTTTTTAAGAAAAACCATGCCGAATCTCCCTCTTCTGGTATTTCATCAAACTGATATACACATAACTGTTCCGTTAGGTTTTCATGTTGTAACTTCAGATTGTATTATTGGTAGGTGTTCTACGTTTGGTTTGATGCTCCTATTGGATATGTCTCCATTACTTCTTGCTACACTCCTGATTGGGAGAAGTGGTGGAAGAATCCTGAGAATGTTGAGCTGTATCAGTTTATGGGAAAAGACAATGTGCCATTCCACACTGTAAGTGTATTGTCCTTCAGAATTTTTGGCCAGCACATGGAAGTTATTATTATCTACATTTTTATGTTTTGATCTTGTGCAATTTTCTATTTGCATTATTTGTATAATGAGATTTCCTTTTTGCTTGAAATTTCCTGTGTCTGGGTGATTTTAGGGCAGATTTGATGTGATTGTTATATTTTCTTTCTTCTGTTTGGTTTTACTTGATGCCTGATGGGCTTTCCATTGTTTGTGCTTCGATGTTTCTTTTTTGGTTGCTATTCTATGTTGAGCTCCAAAATTGCTGTCCATATGCATGGTTTGCCTTGTGATAATGTTGTAAAGTTTCATTTCTTCGAATGTGTATGCATTTCTCTTTCCAGGTGATGTTTCCTTCTACGCTTCTTGGAACAGGTGAAAATTGGACTTTGATGAAGACTATAAGTGTAACTGAATACTTAAATTATGAAGCAGGTTTGTCAGTTGTGTTATTGACTTAATTTAGCCAATATGCAATGCTTGGTGAATTTTCATGCATTCAAATGATAACTGATAAGATAACCTTTTGCTTACTAAAGAGCTGCCTTTTTCTTTTGACCATTTTGAATTTTCTAATTTTATTTGGCTGGCTAATGTAGGAAAGTTTTCCAAGAGTAAAGGTGTAGGAGTGTTTGGTAATGATGCAAAGGATACAAATATTCCTGTAGAAGTTTGGAGATATTATTTGTTAACCAATAGGCCTGAGGTAATCCTCTTGTTGCTGACAATGCTTTCATTCTGCAGTTGAATATTTCATCATTCAACAGGAAAGTGCTAATTTGATGTGTCTGTGTTGATTAGGTGTCTGACACACTATTTACATGGTCTGATTTGCAAGCAAAAAGTAACAATGAGTTGCTGAATAATTTGGGCAACTTTATTAACCGAGTTCTGAGCTTTCTTGCTAAACCTCCAGGTAGATCAGCTGCGTGAAATTCTGTGTTAGGTTTCTTAGTCATTTGTTGTTCAGCTAAATTTGTTTCTTGACAAATACATCAGAATGACAATTTTTTTTGTTGGTGGGGGAGCTGAATTGTAGATTTCTATAGCCAATAGCAGGATATTTATTTGTTTGGTTTTAATTATAATTATTAGAATTCTTATCATTTGAGTTTTGATAGCCTTTCCCTCCCTTTCAATTTTGGTATGTTGCTATTATTTGAGCTTTGGTGGTGCTTGTGAAGTGGCATCTTTTTCTAAGAACCATCTCCTCACTATAATAGATATACTTGAAGCTTCATTCAGCAGCTGTGTGTTTCTCTTTCATTTTCTTTTGAAAATCTTTAGAAAGATGGATGGTTCTTGGAGTTTGTGGGCGGGCCAATTTATCCCTCTAATATTCTTGATACCCTTTTGGACCCCATTTGCTTTTCCTTGAAGCATGCAAGTCAAAACACTGTTGGGACATAGTGCACTGCATCACATTAGTCCCAAACCGATCCTCTAGGAACATTAAGGGTTGTAAATTCTTGCAGTGTTTTTTTTATTTTATCACTTTCCACTCTTTTTTATGCATTTTTTTGGGTGTAACAAAGCACCAGCATTGTATCCTCAGACCATAGTGACTGACTGTTTTGATCTACAGGTTCAGGATATGGTTCTGTTATCCCAGATGCTCCAGGTGCAGGCTCTCATCCCCTGACAAATAAATTGGCTGGAGAAGTTGGTAAATATGTGGAGCAATACCTGGAAGCCATGGAAAAGGTATCCATCAATCATTGTTTTGCAGGATGTGGTTGCATGTAACTGGCATCATTCTTACACCCCTGTTTATAATTTTCTAGGTTAAATTAAAGCAGGGATTGAAAACTGCAATGAGCATTTCTAGCGAGGGAAATGCATATCTGCAAGTAAGCCTGGAATATTTTTGATCGTTTGGATTCAAAAGTTTCATGAGTTGTGTGTTTTCTAATTTTTCTGTTCTTCAAGGTGGGAACTGATTTCTATTCCATTTCCCTGTAGGAAAGCCAATTCTGGAGGCTTTACAAGGAAGACCAACCTTCTTGTTCTATAGTTATAAAGACTTCTTTGGGTCTAGTATATCTTCTTGCATGTTTGTTAGAACCTTTCATGCCATCTTTCTCTGTTGAGGTATCTTGGCTACCTTATTCATCTATACTCAGCACTCATGTGAATGTCTTTTATTGTTTTTATGTGCTGAGACCTTTTTTTCAAATTGGATATAAGGTCTTCAAGCAGCTTAATATGCTCCCTGAACAAGCTTCACTATGTGATGAGAAAGGTGATATGGATAAGGCAAAAAGGCCTTGGGAGATCCTACCTGCTGGGCACAAGATTGGGACACCAGAGCCCTTGTTCAAGGAACTGGTATAATATGTTATGTCACATATGATTATGTGCATGTGTGTCTCTGGGTGTTGGTTTGAATTTGCAGGTGTTTGCATGTGTGTGTTTGTGCTTTGATGCTGATGGAGATGGTGGTGAAGATCAGCATAATTTTACCTTTTATTTGGGCCTTCAATAATTTAAGTAACTTCATTTTCATACAGAAAATAGAAGAAGTGGAGGACTACAGGAAGAAATTTGCTGGCAGTCAGGCTGACAGACTTGAGCGGGAAGAAGTTGAAAAGGCATCTAAGCTTGCTGAGGAACTGAAGAAAAAAGCTACAGGTTTTGATCTGCTTGCAGCCATTGTGCTCATCTGATTAGTTCTGATGGTGGCTAATTTGAACCAAGTCATTTATTGTGGTTGAAAAAAATACATGTTCTTATCAACCTGAGTGTTTGCACCTGCTTATGATCACTGTAGGGAAGTTTATTTCCGTATTATTTACCAAACTTAATGAAACAGTTGGTGGGAAGAAGCAGCTGGCCAAAAAACCTGCTGGTGAAGCCAAATCAAGGGGCGCTGTTGAACCAGAAATCTCCATCACAAGACTTGATATTCGTGTTGGCCTAATTAAGAAAGCTCAGAAGCATCCTGATGCTGATTCCCTGTATGTGGAAGAAATCGACTTGGGTGAAGGAGATTGTAGAACGGTTGTAAGTGGACTTGTCAAGTATATACCTCTTGAGGAGATGCAAGTATGAATCTCTGCCACCATAGCTCTTAATAATAGGATGCTTTTTTATGTTTAGAAAATGCCACTCAGTATACTAGTTTGTTGATTATTGTGATCATTTGGCAGAATCGGAAGGTCTGCATCCTTTGCAACCTAAAGCCTGCAAATATGAGGGGCATCAAGTCAGAGGCTATGGTTCTTGCTGCTTCCAGTAGTGACCACACCAAGGTAAGCAAACCGATCACTACCTTTCGAATTGTCATTGCGTCATGTATATACTTTCCTGAGGTCACACTTCCAAGTATGAAATCATTCTAACCTTCATAATGGACTTGTAATACAAACTATTAACCTTTGACCAAAAGCGGCACACGGATCTAACTGTTTAAATGCTTTTTAATTGCTGGTCTAATTTTACCATTTCCGGTGGTCTGGTAGGTCGAATTGGTTGATCCACCCCAATCTGCCGTTGTTGGAGAGAGAGTGACATTCCCAGGGTTTGAAGGTGAACCTGACGATGTCCTAAACCCTAAGAAGAAAGTCTGGGAGGCACTACAGGTGGATCTGCAAACTAACAGTGACCTGGTAGCATGCTACAAAGATATTCCACTAACCACATCTGCTGGTGTGTGCAAGGTTGCAACCATTGGCAATGGTTCCATTAGGTAGATAGGTCTACTCTAAAATTTAAGGACCCATGCTTAACCGCTTATTTACTCGATAAATAATCATTTCTATGTAAAAAGGGGTCTCCTCTACATGGACTTTTGTCAAAAAGTTGGGAAGGAAATTTGTATCTCCACGGAAATTCTTTTCCCACTGGATGCAAAAATTTGGATATTTGTTTGCAAATAAATAAAGGGTTGCCCTAGTGTGCGTGCCATTGTGTTAGCTTTTGAATTAAGGGTTTAAACTTTAGAGTCAATATTTAAAGATAATTTTTTCAATTTCTTTAAATATATAAGGTTTCTCGACTAATTTGAAGATACCTCTTTACCTTTCTATAGAAGAAAATATTATATGATTTTATATCCCATATTAGCACACAGTTTAGCCTCCAAATTATGGAGTTATTAACATGACAACATGGGATAGGATCATGTATCAAGATGTGTTTGAGATCGTGATAGATCGAGATGGAAATTAAGTAAGATATGTTGGAGATTGTGTTAGATTGAGATTAAGATTGTATTAAAATAATATTTTTTTAAAAAAATTAGTTTTTAAATAATATTTCACAATATAACAAAATATTTTTAATAAAAAATTAAAATATTTTTTAATAAAAAATTAAAATAACAAGAATTTACCAAATAGATTGACGTGATTTGACCAGAATTTACCAAATAGATTGACGTGATTTGGTGATTGCTTAGAGTAATAAATTAAACTCTTAAACACAGAGGCACCGCCAACAAAACATTTCTAGCAAAGCATGGATAGATTTCCGATTAATAAATAGGGTGTGAATGTAAAAGCATGCTCCTACTCGTAGAGAACTCTTGGCTCCCCCTAACGGTATAATTTTTTAAATAAAAATTGAAGTACAAAATGAGTTTCCAACAGCAGTCCACGCTGCAATTGTCTCCCAATCCACGGCAAAAGAAATAGGGAAACTACAACTTTTTCTTGGTTTAGATTCTTTATAATAATATAATAAAATGAGGCACGTATACAACACGCGACTTCCAAATAAGATCAACTCACTAGAACCGAAAAAAGGAAGCGTGGTAAAGTTTCTCTACCAAAACAATCCCAACCGCTCAACCTCATCCAACGAATCCTTTGCCTTACAAGTGTTGTCCAAACACTCGTTTCTAAAATATAACCTTTTCCTCCACGCGCTCAGCACAGTCGCTATGAAAAGCCCTAAACCGCTCCCGAATCGGCATCGGGCAGCACTGGTCCGTTTTGCTTTAGCCCCGTGTTGTTTGTTGTTATTATTATTATTCGAAGAAGAAAGAAAGAACTGTAGAATAGATCTGATTTTTACGAAGGTTATTATTATATTTTTACTCCACTTATTATGAGTTTCCCTCTTCCCTTAGCAATGTAGCAGAAGAATAACCAAATTTGGATATAGTTTTTTTTTTTTAATTATTTCAATGTGTTTAGGTTTTTTTTTGAAGGCTGAGAGAATTATAGAAAATAAGTAAATAGTGTGGATCGAGTAGTACAATGCATAATTTAGTGATTCGGATTTCTTTTTATGTTATGATTCGGACAGAATTGTAAGTACATTGATTTCTGTTTTGTTAAGGGCTTTTTGTTCATTGTACATTATTGATTCGGCTTGGCTTACGGTAGGACGTGTTTTCTCCATTGAATGAACACCATGCATAGTGTATTGCCTTTGAATAATTAGTTGTTTATATATGTATGTATGTATGTATGTATACATATGGTAGTGAATAATTAAGAAAAAAACTAAGGAGATGAATGCTATGAAGATTAGACTTTAATGCCTCTGTTTTAGTTGTTATTATGTCATGATAGTGTTTACCGAATCCATCAACAGATAAGTAACTTTGTTTTCGAAGCTTTTGCAAATCTGGTAACATCTCCCTTTTTGTTGTGTTACGACTGTTTCATTGCACAGTTTGTGATTTTGTATACGAAAATTTCTTTTCTTGTTTATAGAGAATTGCATTGCTGTAATATCTTGAAGCAATAAAAGTAACTTTGAGAAGCACAATGGTAGTCAGTGTGGTTGTACTTCAAACCATTGATACCTTTTTATGCTTTACTTATTTGAAATTCTGGACTTGTTTTTAGTGGATTTGAATTTCTTCTGTTTAATTCTAATTTAGGAAGAGTTACCATGTATTATGAGATCACACTTGGATTTTGACATATTGGAAACCTTGAAACATAGGAAAACAGATGGATCCTTATCCTGAAAATTTTCATTCCTTTTCGTGAATGCAACCTTTGCCCCGAGTTGCTAGTTTCAACCATGTTTGATTGGTAAATAGCTCATTTGGTGTCCTGTACTTTGTAAGTTTACCAAACTTTAGTACCTTTTTTTTTTCTGGGATTGTCTTGGTTATGAATGCTTTAAAGTTGCCTCCATAGTTTGCAAATTGTTGTGAGATGTTCTATATTTAATTCTTTTCCATATATTTGTATTACTGTTGCCATGCCCATCAATTTTACAAAGAATTTAATATGCAAACTACCTTGGAACTTTTATCTTCATAAATTGATTAAAGATCCACGTAATTATTCCTATTTTGTCTAGTTGTAGTGTATGGATTCAGTATCAGTATCGCTTAATAGGATGCTTTCTAGTTCTGGTATTACTAACTGCATTGGCTATAGATGCTGATCCCTATTTTTGTAGGCCATTAAAATGAAAAGAAATAGGTTTTAGGCTTGAGAGACCAAGGAAACTTACAATTATGTATTTATGGTAAACTGAGAGAAGAGAGGGCACCTCATGAGTAGGGGGTTATTAGGGACGAGATCTCTTTATTTTTTTCAGTGTTTTCTTCCTCTTCTTTTTTGTTTTTCATTCCAAGGTTCATTGTCTCATCTAGTTATAACAAAATAATGCAGGTTATGATCTCTTCAATATTCTAGCAGAAAGTCCATCAGTTGAGTTATCTTACACTTTGTGCATATACATAGAAGAATGGCTGAAGCAATATCAAGCTTTTGGGGACCTGTAACATCTGCCGAGTGGTGTGAAAAAAATTATGTCTATTCATCTTATATTGCTGAATTTTTCAACACCGTATCAAATATCCCAGGCATTCTCTTGGCACTCATCGGCCTTATAAATGCTTTAAGACAACGGTTTGAGAAGAGGTTTAGCGTACTTCACATATCTAATATGATACTTGCCATTGGAAGTATGCTATACCATGCCACTCTGCAACGCGTGTAAGTACACTTGTGTATTCTCCTATCTTGTTCATCATTTTCTTCTAAAAAACTTTCACTAATTTCTTGGATGGTTAGCAGCTCCTATACGTTTCCCTTGAAACTAATTGGTGTGTGGTTTGAATTATGTCTTGTTTTAGCTGGATTATATTCATAAAAACCTCTGGCTTTGAATTTATGGCATACAATACTGTAAGATGTTAGACTGTTTCTTGACAAAAAATTGTTCTAGGTGTTTATGTCTCTGCATAAGTTGATTTTAAGTTCCCATTTAATCTTTCTAACCTTTTGGGCCTTTTAAAGAGAACATATACAATCCTCTGCCTTTGGACTACTGTTGAAGGAGTGCATGTGTAAAAGGGCCCTTGAGCTTTCCTATCCCAAGCAAAAGAACAAGAAGGATCAATCAATTAAAGCCCGTTGACTTTTACCCTTAAAGTTCTCGATCTATTGTTTTCATCAAGGGTTATCATATTATATATTGAACTTTTTGCCCCTTCATTTAATAGTCTTCATTTCTTTTTTAACTATGTAAAGGAACTAGCACATATACTTTGAGGCGGTTTGTGGAATGGAATTCAGATGAAAAGTTGGCTCTTCTAAGTACTTTCAAAGAATTAGAACTCCAATTAACTGGATTTTTCTAGGTCGATGTGGGCCAACAGCTAGAAGTTGTAGTTAGGCCCTAACTTAGTGCTTCCCAATCTGCTGTCTTTTTCCTTGTGTGAATGCCCTATTAGTTGATTGTCAAAAGCGCCCTAACTTAGTGCTTCCCAATCTGCTTTCTTTTTTCTTGTGTGAATGCCCTATTAGTTGATTGTCAAAAGCGAAAATAGAATGGAAAAAAATACTTATCTAACCTGCCTCTTATTCAATCCCTATACTTGCTGGCTGTATGGAAGTGCTTGACCAACAAATGACATGATTTGGGCATAATAAAGGGGAGCAAGTTACTTGGTATTTGAAATGGTTTTATAATCGAGAGACATGGAAGAGTTGTTATTTAGTATGTCAATGAGCGGGACATTGTATTGGATGTCTGATGTGATTTGCTGGAATTTAATAGCTGTCATTCTTCAGATTGCTGGTAGATTTGATGAGGTGCTGGTAGTAATGATTTAAAGAAGTGTTTCAATGCCATATCTTATTGCTGGATGATAGGGTTTTATTTTCTGTAAAATTTATGCATGTTGTCATATCTTATTTTATTCACTTAATTGGCATTTGCAAATGAATGCCCCAGGATTGCAAAAGCGTTGAAGTTCCTAATTTTTCCCGCATCCTCTTAGAAACAAATTACACGTTATTTGACAATTGGTTCGTTGAATCTAGTGTACATCTATTTTCCTTATTTCAAAGCTTTAAGAGTAGGGTCTGGTAATATAGACTTCTAGTATGTGTTCCCCTATTGAAAATGCTGGGACTTGGGACCTGTATTTTGGTGTGTCGGAATTCATTCCCAAATCATGTGAACTTGCATGACATTGTGTTGGATGTTTTGTTTGGCGGTTTATTCATCATGTTGATTAAGTTGTTAGTATTCTTAATTTATCTTCAGGCAGCAGCAAGGTGATGAAACACCCATGGTTTGGGAAATGCTTTTGTATTTCTACATCCTCTACTCACCAGATTGGCACTACCGAAGTGTGATGCCCACCTTCTTGTTCCTTTATGGAGCTGCATTTGCGATTTTCCATGCACTGGTCCGTTTTGAAATTGGTTTCAAGGTACATTATGTGATTCTTTGCCTTCTCTGTGTTCCCCGGATGTACAAGTACTACATCTACACAAAAGATGCATCTGCAAAGCGGCTTGCAAAATTATATTTGGCTACCATTTTCATGGGAAGTCTTTGTTGGCTTTTTGATCGCCTATTCTGCAACAACATTTCTCAGTGGTACTTCAACCCCGAGGGACATGCTTTATGGCATGTCTTGATGGGGTTCAATTCATATTTTGCAAACACATTCCTGATGTTTTGGCGTGCTCAGCAGTTGGGTTGGAATCCAAAAGTTGCCCACTTCATGGGTTTTTTCCCATATGTGAAAATTCAAAAGCCAAAGACCCAGTGACAGGCGCTGCAAAGCAAACGGCGTCTTTCCTTTCCACCTCGTTTGGAGGCAGATATATGGTTTTGGAAGATAACAACCCTTAGCAACACAATTCTTTTCTCCTTCAATTTTCTAAATGGTTGTAAATGATAGTTGAATATCTTGACATCATTAGTTGGATTTTGCCATCTTGGTTAATTTAAATTGTATAATTAGTGGGGTTTTGCTCTGAAAATTTTTTGCTTGGAGGGTTCTCTAATTTTCTCGCATGTCAAAGTTCTTTCTTTTAGCCTAAAAATGTAAATTGGCTAATTTGTTATCCTTTAATCCTAGTCATCAAACACTGATTATGAGAAGCTTTTGGAAAGCTGTCATTCGTACACGTTTCTTCTTTTTTTCTTGGCGTACACCATACACTAGAGGTTTGTTGAATTGAGTCCATATTCCTTGTGTTCCTTTAATGTATTCTGGAGAAAGTTTTCGTTTTCATTCAGTAAAATATGTTTTCTATTTTCTAGAAAAATATTAAAGAAACTGGAAAACTCTCTAAAAGTAAAGGAGCAGGTTAATTTGCAGGAGCAAGGGGACGATGCAGCCATGGATGAATGTCACATATAATATAATGCTAATTAGATAGTTAGTTCGTTAAGAAGAGATGAGAATGGTCTCCAAATCTGAACCTGGAAAACCACTTCACGAAGAGGTCCCAAGTTCAAATTTGACACGCGACCTTCCTCCGCCTCACTTTCAATGCAGGTTTAGGATCCCTGCTCCCCTCCAATTACAGATTCTTGTGACTATCATCTTGGCAAAGAAGAAATGGAAGTAATCCATGCGTGAAACCAGTGGCTATAGTTATTGAACTTCTATAACAGTAGAAGGGATACTGATTCAAAGTGGTTTTGTAAATGGGAGTGGTGAACTATATTTCTACTTTTCAGAGCGAGCGGCATTGCTAAAGATGACAGACTACCTTCGATTGCAATATGACCGAGCTACATCAATAAGGAAGTTCCAAGTTCCGCTCGAGTTATTTCTTGGTCAAATTTAAGTTCCAAACTCATTTATCCAGAAGCAGCAAACAGATGCAAAATTTGAAAACATGAGGAATCAAATTTGTGTGCCATCAACCATGACTTCCAGTATCTTCTTCTCCAGTTCACGGCCATCAATCCAGTTTGAACTTTGTCGGTGTAAGAGTTCATGCTTCACTTTCTTCTTCTCTTCCTGCCTCTTTTCTTTCATCCTCCAATTCTCAAGCTTCTCTGCTCTTTCTTTCAACTGCATGGAACAGATCAATCACATCAGTAATGCATTGAAAGGCAGCTTGTTGATATAAACCTTTGACACTATCCACATGGTATTTAAGAACTATATGTGCTTAAAAAAAAAATTCATTCACATGCAAACACAACTATAGATGGGCACAAGCTGAAAAACTCAGAACTTACACGTGCACACAGACTGCTGCAAACCACCCTCTAAATTTGCAGCAAATTAACTGAACTCCATAGATAAGAAAATAAATAAATAAATAAAAACCATCTAAGTTTCTTCGAACTCCTGTTGTCAGTATACATTCTAACTTTCTAACTGGTGTCCCAACATACAAGAACAACGTATGAACAAACACACACCCAAGTTAACCAGCATAACCATCAAGGAGCAAGGTACTGCAACACCCCTCCCTTCAGCCTCCACAGATTGATAGTGTCATTGAATTGAAAGCCAATGCAATTCATGCAACCTTCGTAGTTTACAAAAACTTAACTTCAAAGATCAGACAACATTGTACAATTACTTAATAGTATAGTAGCATAAAAAATGAATATCCGAGGAATGAATATCTGGTTTTATGGAATCTTTAAGTAGAATGTGTAAGACATTCGGGAATGAATATCTGGTTTTATGGAATCTTTACAATTCCAAAAATGCACTCTATCACCACAAATCTGCATACGTGTGTATAGCTAAAAGCATCTCCACCGTTCCACAGCCAATTTGATCAAAGTCCTTAAACTGGCTTGCATAGTTCTAGCTTGTAAACGTACTAACTAGACTATCTCCTGTTTACCATCACTAATACTGCTTTTGATGCCATTAAACCATTTAAAGCATACAGCTTAAGACCATCATAAAAACACATTTTGTCTGAAAAACCAACATTGCTCAAACCTCTGAAACCCTAATCAACAATAACAATTAAAAAATAGACACAGAAAGATTAGGTTTTCCTTAAGATGACATCAAATGCTCCACATTTGCTACCAATAACGTGAAAAAAACCAATAAAACCCCAACCAAACAATCTTAATCAAAACAATTTTTTGATTCAATTCCTTTCCCAACCCATCAATAAAAAGAATCCATTATTTCTTTTACAGATGCAATCGATAGTTAAACATCAAAATACACAGTTTCCATTTTTTTCGAAAGGGCATTCCGAGAATCTATTATTTACTTAAATCTTCGAAAAAATCAATAATAAAAAATTAAAAACACGAATAGTACCAGAAGCTTTCGAAACTCCTCTTGTTCAATCTTCCTCTCTTCAGCTCTGACTTTAGCAGCTTCAGCTTTCAATTTCTTCCTCTCTTCATTAGCAACTCGAATAGCTTCTTTTCTAGCCTCTTCTTTCCTTTGTTTCTCTATACGCAAAGCTTCGACTTCCACTATATATTCCTTTCTCAATACTTTCACTTGCTTTGCATATTCTCTTCTTAATCTAGCTAGTTTTGCCTCTGCTTCTTTTGGGGTTTTTGGTGTCTCCCAGCTTCCAATAAAGGAGTCTGGTTCTAAAAATTTGTGGGTATTTTGATGGTTGTTTTTTGGTGTGGCGTTTGTGCAGAACAAACGACGGGTCGAGCGGAGCACGGAGCGAGACGCGGCGGTGGCCATTTCTGTGAGAGGGAGAGCGAGAGTTGGGGTTTCAGAAATTTTAGAGAGGAAAGATTGAAGGGTGTTTGATAAATGGGCTGGGCTTGAGATTAGGCCATGTACACATAAGTAGAGAGTGCTCGGCCTAAAACAAAAACACTAGCTAGTAAAGAATCCAATTGGAGGTTTTGAAGTTGAAACTTTTGTATCATGTGTAATGATAATGTCTATTATAAACCCAGCTTGGACCAAGTCTTGAGTTACAGGTGGGGATAGTTTAAAAAATAATCATCACTGAACCTTTTAAAATTTAAATAAATGTCCGCGTGATAATTTGAGTAATAAAATTCCCTAAAAAAAAAAAAAAAGAGCCGAGAGAATTTGACACACCACAGCATTCACGGTACTACTGTAAAATGAGGTTAACGATGATCAACAGATGACCTATAAAGTGGAAATGTGACCCCGACTGTTCACTTGGAATTCATAATAATATCATTCACTAATATTACTGTTGAATCACTGGCACGGTACAAAATCTGTACAGCCTTGTTGCTCGACAGATGAAACTCGTAACGAGTACAGGGAACACTGCTGATGTCAAAAAGAAAACTATCTGTATAAGTCATCTCTACTGTGGTGAATACAACAATTTCCAGCTTTAGGTTTCAGCTTGGAAAACCAATAACCCTTCCCCAAATTATTGTTCCTCTGGCAATAGATTCTACTATTCAATTATTTTCTTTGGCAATGACAAAACTACAGAAACAACGCATTGGTTCTATTGAAGGTAGTATTTTTTGTATCCCAATTCCCAGCTATCTCAAAAAAACTTTGCAGACAAGCCTCAATCATCCGCTATCCCGAAATTTGTATCCTAGACAACGGATCAGAAATCATGTCAATTTGGTGTTCAATGGCACTAATCAAGTCAGCAGAGAAACATCCTCCCACGTTTCAGAGACAGTGGGCATCAGAACAACCAATCGGAGCTTCCCTGATTGGCATTGTCTTGCGGGATTTCTGAATGTTGTGACCCTAGCTTTATTATTACCTAGAAGTACATGAAGAATGCTAAAACATTCACCCTTTTCAACTGCAAAGTGCCACTCTCTAAATGATATTTCAAACCAGTTCTTCATAGCGGATCTTGTTGCTTTAACTTCAATATACTCTTTACTACTTCCCACTTCTATAACCATGTCATAGGGTAACCCAGTCTCATTATCCTGATTAACCCACTTCACGACCTGACCAAATTTTTTAGTCAAATGGTTGAAAGCAACTTGCTCACCTTCTCTCCCAGTAGCCATTGCTTGTATTGCATTAGCTGTCCCAGGACGAAGCTGATCTGTCCTGAATATTTTAGATGGACCCAATTCAGGACCATTGAACTTAACAGTCTGGGTGTCCACATTTTCAGACTCTGGCAACTCATCTGCTTTGTTTTCAACTGTGAAATCCGCATTGTTCTTAGCTGGAACTACACTAACTGCTTCTGTGACAATCTCCTCATCATTTATGCTACATCGGCTGCTCTGAAAATCTGGTGCAGTTTTCCAGTCTGCAGGTGGCCAATATGAACTGACACTGGCTTTCAACTTCAAGTTTGAGGGTTTCTGTTCGTTTATTGATGTTGGAGAAACATCTATTTGAAGTGATTCCTCATTTGTTGTCAAAGACTGAGTGGGGGAGAGTAACCACAAAGATTCTTCGTCGGGAAGCTTTGACACCTTCTGGCTGTTCACAATGAAGAATTCTGTTTGCTCCTCTGTGGAGCCAGATTCAGCCATGGTTGTAATCATATGAAGGAAGTTTGCCAAGTGCAATTCTGGAGTACCATCAAAGAATAAACGAGAAAGCTCCAAAAATAAAGCGTGTGTATCAGATTCCAACCTTGTGTACAAAGTATTACCCTGAAAAATTATAATTGAAAGGGTAAGGTCATAATAATTTTTTCCATTTCCAAAATCATTAAAGGGTAAGGGTCATTTAATGCGCAGAGGTCTTGTATATCCTCAAGATCTTGCATTTCAAAATTAACAACAAAGTTCCAATGAACTTTGGTAACTTGTCCAATCCTAATTTCACATGATTCTTGCCAGCAGTTTATCAGCACTAGTCAGCTGCACATAAATGAGAGAAATGAAATAAGTAGAATAAGCAATATCATCCATACCTCCAGGAGACAGCTACATTGTTCTTGCCTCTTAGAAGCAAGGCGACATTTTTTTATGGCATAGTGGTAGGATAACTTTTCAACAGCAATAACCTGCAGTTGCTTTAGATTATTGAATCCAGACTGCTTGAGTTTAGAGTATTTATCAGGGTGTGTGCTATATATGTAGCGCTGAGCATATGGAAGAGCCCAGTTAATCAATGAAGCTTTGAAGCTAGAGTCTGCTGGACCATCATATATTGCCTTACGAGTTACAACCTGCATGGAGAAAAATGATGAAGACTTCCCCAAGTGGTTATTTATACAAGGGATTTTAGACTGGAACAATCCTGCAGCCCTGCCTTCGGTTTCACACAGAACAAGAAATGCTTTCCCT